TTTTGTTTATTTGTTCACTAACTTTGTAATTATGGTTTCTTTTCCTATTTTGTACTTTAATGAATATTGTATCTATGGCTTTTCCTTTTTATTTGATTGTATTATATATGAAATAAAATTGATTTATTATTATCATACAATTTATAATTATGCCAAGCATTTGCGAACTATTTGTCTATTTTTTGAACGTTTTATATGACGAGTCTAAAATTTCGAAAACTAAAAAAAAAAAATTCTCGAATTTTTTTTTCCTGTTTTAAAAAGACACGTTGAAAAAACGTTTTACACTCACACTCAGTGAGAAAGTGTTAGAGCACAAAGATGCAGTTTTTGTTTTTCTATAACGGCAATTTTATAAAGCAAACTTAACGATTTTTTTAAAACAGTGATTTTGTAAAACTATTTTTATCGCCTAAAATTCAAAATGAATTGATTATCTCTATGGCTATGTCCGTAAAGAAATAATCAAAAAAAATTAAAAAAGCCAAATACTTTTCAATTATTGATGATTTATGGAGATGAATTCGGGATATGTAACCCTCTCTCAGAGACTCGAGAAAAGAAGTTATCGAACAATGTTCATCGCGACTTGGGTCAACTCTCGACTGGAATCCTTTGGTCGAGCTTTCGTATGCCGACACTGCGGCGCTCGCCATTGTGATTTGAATAGACAAGATTATCAAGGGCCAATGGCCATCCAGAAGTCATTGGAAGAATACAATGAAGAATTAAGATTACTGGCAACTAATAAAAAATATGTAAATCCTTTCGGCATTCGGAAGCCATCTGCCTTCGCCTCACTTAAAATAAATTTATATCAAATCGCACCTGTCGATCCATTCCACGATTTTGCCATGAGTTGCGTCGTTGAATGGCGAAAAAACAATAAAAGTATTGAAAAATCATCTTAATTCGAGTCAACTAAAAAACAGATTAAAGTCAATAAAAATGATAAATGGCAACATAGAGATCAATGTGGAGCAATCAGATTTGAAAGTAAAGGCTCCCAAAAATTGGAATTTATCATGAGAATGATTAAAGTATTTCCAGAAATGATCGAAAACAAATCAATGTTCAAATTATATATGTGACGATCCTAATGGTCACGTCATTGATGAAGGGTTTGATTTATTGGATGAGTAAAAAACGGTTGATTTGGTGTGGTTAGTTTTATAAAAACTCGTGTGTAAAATAATTAATTTTGATGTTTTATGATTGTGATTAAATAAAATAAAGTTTTTTCAAATAAGATTATTGTTGATTCATCACATATATTGCTACGAAAAAAAATTCATCTTTTTGATGTATTCATTTTCAGCCGAATATAATCAAGAGATGGAGAATATAAGTGAAAAAT